CTGAAGATTGGCCAAGTGGAAGGGAAAAAAGAAAGGAAGGAGTGTTAGTGTGCTGTCGCGTGGGGCCATCTGTTGCAATTAAGCCTTCTTTGACACAACTGTGTAGGGACATTGATATCTGAAAAACGTGGCAGCGTTGGCCTTGCTAAATGAAGACGAAAAGGAATCGAAATAAATGAAAATATAAGCCGACTTCAATCCTTTCTAATATACCTGATAGAATAGGAATGGCTGGATCTAGATTTCAGTACGTACAGACATGTGTTTGTTTATACATCGGAAGCTTGGGCGCCGAGTAATAGGTAAAGATATATATATATATATATTTGGTTGGATAGATGTGAGTTTGTGACCCTGGGTTTCACGCTTTAGCGATCGTCAGAAAAACTGATTAATATTTTAAAAAATTGGGGTTTATGTAGATTACGTGTATTGGTGTTATTGTGGAAGTGGTGGGGGAAATTTCGTCGTTTTGTCATTCACGTACTAACGCAAACATCGATGTATGCAGACACATATACATACTTGGTCGTCCGTCGGGACTCATACATATATAAACATATGTGGGCAGTTTCGGATATGACATATGTATTTATACGGGTGGTGTTATGTCTATACATACGCATTTGTATGATGAAATGTTGAGATTTAAACATTGGAAGTATGGCGGAAATGTCTCGTTAATGTCTCGTGAATGTATACATGTCATATTATGTATTTTTCGGCTGAAAAATATTTCCTCGCATGTATGTATATACGTGTGGTGGGGTTTGAGTAAAATTATGATAGGTAAAAATTATTATTATTTATATTAATTTTTAAATTTTTGAAAAAAAAATGGGGGTTTATTTGCTATATTTAAAGCTGGTTATTTGTTTGTTTTTGGTGACTGTGTATATGTAACAGGTAGAAATTTGTAATCCTTATTGGTTAATTTATATGGTGATGTTTAATATGCAATGTTCTGGGTGAGAGGGTAGTTCAATTTTTTAAAACATTAATTAGTTTGTCTGACGATCGCTAAAGCGTGAAACCCAGGGTCACAAACTCACATCTATCCAACCAAATATGTTAGCTCTATCTCTGATATTGAGCGCTTTCTAATAAATCCATATAATATATAAATAATTATACATATATATATTTATTTATATTTATATACACTTTTCACACACACACACACATATATATATATATATATATATATATATATATATATATATATATATATATATATATATGACAAAGGGGAAAGTTTTTATTTTGTGACCCGTTTCATCCGTTAGGTTTTCATGGGAAGGTGCTTCGTTATATTTCTCTAAATACTGTTTGTTGATATAGAAAATTATATATATATATATATATATAAATATATATATATATATATATATATATATATATCTGTATATTTATATATATATATATATATATATATATATATATATATATATATATAATTTTGAAGAATTAATCTTTCAAGACGATTGCGTTTAACATGAAACAGTCTGTCACCACTGAGTGTCGATTTAAGTTAGATGGCGATGTAATGTAAAGCTTTTTTTGGCGTGTGTTTATAGTTAGTACTAACGTTACAGTTAGTACTATAGTTATATATATATATATATATATATATATATATATTAAAGACAACAAAAAAGATTGGTGGAACCCAAACTCTTACCAGATACACTGCTAGAAGGAAAAACGACAAGGCTGAAACAAAGAAAGAGAAAAAAATGCCCTGACAACAAACTTAGCTACTCTGCAAAGTGCTCGAAGACTAGATTGCCTAGACCGGTGAAAAAAAAAAAAAAGAAAAACAAAGAAAGAAAGAAAAGAAAATGCTTACCAACGTTTAATCCTATGAAAACTCGTGTCTCGTAGTGAAACGAGATTCACAGACGCGCTTATCTTCAAAATATTTGAACGTCTGAAGATCGTGTGTACACACACACACACACACACACACACACACACACACACATATATATATATATATATATATATATATATATATATATATAATAAAAGTCTTAAACATTAATATTCCACTGTTATAATTTATTATATTGGAACCGTAAAAACGATCCAATTCAGACCTACAAATTCAAAAAGAAATCAGAAAAAATAACTCCGTGAATAAAAAGATAAAATTTAGCGAGAGTGTACGTATGAAAGTGGGGGATGAATGTGAGAGGTAAAAGAAACTCTTAGAGAGGGGGATAACAGACGAGAGAAGAACAGGAAGGCCTAAAAATGAAGGTGGAGATTAAAATTTAATAGAGAGACATTCTAAAGCGAAGTTAGAAGACAGTTTAAATGAGTGAGATACAGATAAATTGGAATTAAGTTTTAGACGCATATTTCATTCGCAAATAGCTGACCTAAATTAATTTAAAAACTGACACCGGAAATGGGTTTATACATTTGTGGTGACATTACGCATAATAATCTAAACTTAAAAATCAGAAGATGAGAAAGAGGGAGAAAAGAATAGAAA